AAGAGTTTATAATCTTAGCATTAACCAGTTGAATATGAGCTGTGGTATATAGTGATAGTATCTCTATTTTTATATTAGTTAATATTACAAATTTATTAAAGATATATGTTGGTGCACTATCAATTAAAAATCATATATGATACTTTTGATAATACATTTCTAAATTTAAGTCTTCAATATAATAATTTCAAATAGACTTTTGCATTCATGAAGACTTGTTTTAAAAATAATTAATAGGCAATTTTTTTTTATCTATATTCCTAATTAAGCATATGTTTTTATACTTATAAATAAACAATAACTTTAACTTTTCCAAACTGGTTACATTTGCAGTTAATAATACAGTAACATGATTTTTTATCTTTTTGGTTTCCAAAAAAAATTCTTTAATAATTATTAAACAAAATGCATTTCTTTTATTTAATTCTTGTTGCAATTATTTGCTTTAATTCAACCCAAAATACAACAGCTGACTCAACATCTATAAAAATGAGTTTTTTGTTTTATTTATTATTTGCATCTTTTGAAGTTAGATTAATAGACAATTAGTAGTCTAATTTGCTAAAATTTTACTATATAAAGATTCACTAATTTCAAATTTAACTGTAAGGTAATAATTTTTGATACCAGATTTATTTTTTTTTGGAAACATAAATTACACTGTTGGTTGTTAGTTAAGGTAACTTTTTTTTTCTTTTGAACCTTATTAAAGTCATTGTTAATTTTCTACTTATTTCTAGTTAGATCTATGTTTAAAAAAAAGAGACAATACAAAAATTTTTAACAAGATCAGTTTCTTTATTCTTAAATAGTATTATACAAATTTTATTATACTATAAATATTTTACTTTATTGAAATATTTGTTATATCAAGATGATCTTTTTATAAGTAAATTAAAATTGTTTCATAATTCGATATATTGAGGTTTTATAATTAAAATTTAATATATCAAGATATTTTTAATATAAAAAATTTGAGTTAAAAAAATTTTTCATTATAATAACACTTTTGGTTTATCAAGGTTTATTATATCAAGGTTATACTATATTAAAAACAAGTTACAATTCTATTAGACTATCTGAATTAGAAACTTGAAAACAAAATAAGAGTATATTAAAAGTATTAAAAATATGTTATGAGATAGATGTTAAGATTTAACTAAACTCTGCAAAAATATAATTCTGTTAATAATTTATAGAATGAATATCATTTCTTTATTTATTTATCTGTATATTTACAAATTTATATATAGGTTAGTTAACAAAAAGATATCCTAAATCTTATAATTAGATGATATGCTCTGAAACAAATAACAACCTAATAAATATACAAAAAAAGATTTAATGTTGAGTTAGAAGATACTTAGATGTACAAAAACCAAATAACTATTGACATGGTGTAGTATAAGAATTAGAATGTTTAAATAAATATTTTTTTAATAGATTATAAATATGACAACTAATATAGAACCTGCAAGTGAACTACTTAAATAGGTAATCAAAAATTATACATGTATTTAGTTGCACACTCACCTTGTATAAGTCATATATATGTATAATTAAAAATACAATAAAAGCAATAACTACTATAAACATCAGCCTTAGTAAAAGCAAAAAAAAAAATCTATATGCTTCAAAATACAAAACTATTCAAAAAATAGTAGATGCTATCTAAACTTCCACAATAAGTTTTACTAAACTAAACCAAGAATTACAAAAACAGTAACAACAATGTAATTATATACAAAAATCTAGGTAACTGTAATGCATTATAGAACAAATTATTAACTGATAAATTACCAATCTATACACAAAAACTAACAACAAAATCAGAAGAAATGTTAACAAGAATTAAAATAAGTCAGATCTTGAGTGTAACAGAAAAAAATTAACATAAAAATCTACCAAAAATATAAAAAAAAACATACCAAATAATACTAAAAACTAAAGATTTACAAATAATATTCAAATTTAACAATTTAAGTATGAAGAAAAGTGATAAGGAAATGAGAATCATAAAAACATTAGGAAATAAAGTTACACTGCAAATCACCTCAACATTAAGAAAGCTTAATCTAACATCGATAAAGCAGCCTATTAATAAAGCAGGTAACAAAATAATCTCATGGTAACATGAACTGCTCTAGTAGGTTTGAAATTACTCTAATAAAAAAAATGTATTTCTATTTGTACCCGGTGAGCATTATTAGAGATGTACCTCACACGAGAGAACCTAGCATACATTTCACATATCGCATGCGTGACTTTGTCGCGCGAGTTCGCGAGTCTTCATGTTATATAAAATCATTTTAGAATATATGCTAAAAATTTCATTAATCGAATAGTTTATTTCGCGCGAAGTATGGTGGAGAGTCGCGGGTGCGATAGTTTTATCGTTTCGTGCGAGGTATGATACCCGGTATAAGAAAAAAAAACCTCAAAAATCATTAGTTTCTCGAAATTTTACTAAGAAAACCATATGTAGGTAGCTTACATAAAATTGTTCAGCGTTTAATTTTACATATAACCACACAAGTTTTTAAATCTTACCCTAACCTTAATATATATAGGGAGTATATAAACATTATACCGAATATACTCTAGGGATGAGTATTAAATTTCATATATAAAAAAATTGCTATTTACAATTAATAAAATAATGTAATAAAAATAATAAACCGATGAATATTATAATAAAAAATATTACATTCTACCGTAATGCACTGACTAAAAAACCTGGAAGCTTGTAAAAGACCCGGATATATGATGCTGCTAGGTGTCTGTTACGCGAAAGAAATTTCCAAGTATATATATACTCCGCTTTTATAATAAGCAGTTCATAAATTCACATTTGATTAACAAAGCTCTCGTGCTTTATCCCAGGTATTTTGCACGGGGATATTGAAATAATGTACTACGGTATAAGTAATTTGTAAATACTAATTTGGATTAAATTTTCTTTAAAAAAAAAAATGTAATTAGAAATGAAAAGATACTAACACTAACTTATAGATTCTAAATTGATGTAATCGAATAAGATTTATATATGGCAAAACCAAATAAATAACTAGCTAGGTAACTTCGATATATTGGCTCGTAAAAAAGAATATGATTGAGGCCCATCTATAGTTAAACACCAATCAATAGCGAGCGTTGTTGTGGCTAAGTACTTCAAATAATATCCCTGAGGCTAAATTGGTTCAAGTCATAGAGGCCGAAATAGGAGAAGAAAGTAATAATAAAGCACAGAAAACAGTCCTTTATCAAATAACGCATATGGCGTATTCAAAATAACGCCAGATACGCAATATTTTGCGATTTTACGGTAAGCTGATTCAGGACACCATAGCAGATTAAGAATACACTGAATTCCGAACCTACTTACAGTATATATAAATTTTCTATTATCAATAAATTAAATCAAATTTTACAATAATATTCATAAGCTAGGATCTGGGAATACTATCTCTATTTTTTATACTAAATAAAGTTACTGTATACTCTTACTGACCTTCAAATAATACAACCATTCCGAATCAAATCTCAACCCTCAACCATACTCGTCAGAGTCTTCATTAAAAAAAAAAATATATATCACATCTAACAATTAACTATACATTATTGGTTGTTTATGGCAACCTTCAGGCCGGTGGAAAAAAATTCGCAAAAAGTACAATACCACACCACCCGTACAAAACAAAGTAATATAATACCGCATATCCAAACATTTTATCCTGTCTTGTAGAATGTTTTGAAACAGAAGTCATAAATAGGTGACTAGCAAACCAATAAACTGTCGGTTGCGATGAAAAAAATCGGGTGATAACTTGAATATGCATTGATGTGATTGCATAAAGCAAGAGAATTAGCCACAAATAGACAAAGGGTAATAAGTCTGATGAAAAATAAGGTGATGTATTTGGTTTATCCTTTTGTATGTTTGAGCTTTCTATTATAAAGATTGGTCTTTAGTATTTCAATAAGTTATAAGGAGATTTAATATAATATAGTGCATACCTGTGACTTCCAAAGACTGATTATTTTGTAAACCAAAGCTTATCATTCTTTTATAGTCGTATTTAGCATACTTATATATGCCAAATAATGAGAGTGATATCATAGGAAGTGCAAATAAGAAATTTGGAATTTGTTTGACCTCATAATAAGTCAGAAATCCGCAATTCCTGATAAGATGACTAAATTAGATCACAGCATTATCCTCAAATTTAAACTGAATAAGATATATACTCACCAATATCTTTCTTGTACATACAAATACAGAAGTGGAAATGGGGATTGGAGACACCATGGACGAATCGGGGTAGCGTGAATGCAGAATTGATCAAAGCCATGAAATTGGAATGCTCCGAACCCCAAACAAACGATGAAACATAAAATTATAGTTTTGATCAATCGCACAGCAAGTTTCTACAAAATAGCAAAATCAGATATTAACATTTATTTAATAAATTCTAATTGCAATGTAAATAGCTACCATCAAGCTGATCCTGTTGATTTCCTTGATTAGCAAATTGAAAGCAAAAAAACCAGAAAAAACAATTCCATTCGACCTTGTCAAAGAAGCCAATGACCAAATAAATGCAGAGCTCCATAGTTTTCCGCTCACAAATAAATTCATACCTAAAAAGCTCAATAATGCAAACAGGCTTTCTGTATACATCGCAGACATAAACATACACGACGGAGTGAGTATGTACAACACAGCAGTGACAAAGGCAAATCTTTCATCGTGAAATAACTTAACGCTAAGCCTTTAAAAATACCAGAAGGTTAGATTAGTTTTTTTTAACAAAATAATAAGATTTAAGATAATGAAATTAAACAAACATACATATATAAATTAATTGACGCTAGTACAAAAGAAGCATTGGCAATTAATACGCCAGACAAGAGCAATATTTGTTTATATGTTAAGAAGGAACCCAAGGGCAGAGAAACTATAAAATGTAATTAGGATAAATACATTAATAATCAAACAATTAAAAAAATTTGGAGCTAAAATTGATAAATAACTTGCGTGAATTTCCTAACGATCTCGCTAGTAACGGAAACAGTGGAAAGAACGCATGTTCTTGCTCGTAAATGTATCCTTCTTCAGCCAAATGTAAGAAATAAAAGGCATCCCAACGTAGAAATACATGAAAAGACAAATTAAACAATTTTTGTATGATTCCGGATGACTCATTTTCCAATATGATATCAGAGGCTGAATCATAAGCATCGATTATAAAAACGGAAAGAAAAGCAACAAGCCAAGTAAAAAAACGAGATATCATTGCAAGTAAAGCTATTGTTGAGATACGTGACTGACATTTAAGGGTAGTGTGTGGCTTCATCGAAAAAAGTACAATGATCAGTTTTTTCCAAAATTGAAGGCTAAAATGATGAATTAGTGCATTTTATATCTTTAAAGTATCGCGTACAAGATCACATGACATAATGCTAATCAATATCACTGATATCGACGATTTTTATAATTTATGTATTTTGATATCTAAGGATCAAAAATGTTGTTTGTTCAAATCGGGTAAATGAAGCATAGAAAGCAAATGAAGAAAGTAATAATGAAATGTAAGAAAATGACGTGATAATTTTAAGAAAATGAATTTGGTGATGAGAAGGAACGAAATCGACAAAATGTTTTGCGGAAAATTGATCCTTTAAATTGTAACAGGCAAATTTGCTTGTTCATTTCTTTAAAATTAATTTTTTTAATAAATTTTTAACAATAAATTTTAACAATTAATTTTTAACAATTAATTTTAGCAATCTATTTTTTAAGTAAAAAATATTTTTAAAAATTTACTTGTTAAGAAACTTTTTTAAATTTAAAGTTTGTATAATATTAAGGTTACTATTAAAATTATTTTTTAGGTTTTCTAAAATTTTATATATTTCAAAATTAAAAAAAGCTTTTAAGACAAATATTAATTTTTATATATAAATTACTAAACTTGTAATAATTAAGAATAAATGTTCTCATAATAACTTGTTACATGTAACAACTTCAGATTAGTCAATAGTAATTAGAGTTAAGATTTGGATTACATAAATTTTTAATTATTTTTATTAGTTATATTGAGTTGTTACAAATAAGTGTATAATAAGTTATTATAATTAAATTTGTTCAATAATTAAAATTGTAATTTTTGATATAAATTAAAAAATTATATGTTTAAAATTAATAAGTATTTAAAAAGTTGATTATAGATAAACTAAAATATTTTTTTTTACTAAATATTTTTTTCAAAATTATATATTTTTGATCTATAAGTAATTTGATTTTTTTTTTTATAATTTAAAAATAAATATTATAAAATATTATTATATCAAATTTTTTATTTAAATATTTTAATGTTTTAAAAAGTAAATCAGAACCAAAAAAATACAAAAATATGAATAAATTTGTCTACAATCTGAGGAATAATAAATTCTATAATAAATTATAAGACAATAAAAAATTTATTAAAATAACAATATTTGTTCTTTAAGGAAAAAACATATTTTGAATTAGTTAAGCTCAAAAAAAAATTTTAAAAAATTATCAAATTTGTTTCTTTTCTTAACATCTAGTTCAAATAATAAAATCTTACTACACATACCATATAACCGTGAAATAATACTCTGTGTTATTTCACGGTTGTATATAGTATTATCAAAAACAGAAAAATATTCAATAAGCAATGCATATTCTTTGGGTTTATTAATCCTCTTGATAAAATGAATATTTATTTTAAATTTTAAAATTCTAATAATTAAATTCAATGAAATTCGAATTATTCTCTTATTATAAAAACTGGACAAACTAAGTGGTAGATAATTCATACAATAATACGAATATAATATATAGCTGAAGTGGATGAAGTAGATACTAAAGAATTCAAATCTATGTTAGAAATTTTTTTAAAAAACAAATCTTTCACGAGGTATAATATACACTGGCTGAAAAATTATATTTTAACTAAATAATAGCCAGAGATATATAGTACAAATATTAACTTATTTCTGTATATTTACTATATATTTACTAGGCAATATATGCATTTAAGCATATTAACTAAAACTATACACTCTACCCTCGTTATAACGGAATGATCGGGCTGGGAAATTCCATCCGTTATAATAAATATCCGTTATAGCATTATATAATATAGTAATAAAATTTTTAAAATGGTTTAAATAATCACTCCGCTATAATGAGGGATCCGTTTTAACGGGGTCCGCTATAACGAGGGTAGAGTGTATTAAAATACATACTGTATATTACCTAGTAAATATATAGTATAATAAATATATAGAAATAAGTACTATATATTATTGGTTATTATTAGTTAAAATATAATTTTTTTTACCAGTGATAATTAATTATTAGTCGTACTTTATTCACATATAAGTTATTGGACATACATATAATATTGAAGAGCTTTTGAATTTTCGCAATAAAAAATGATTAACGTTAAAAAAGATATTGATTCAATCTTCATATTGACTCAAAAAATGATAAATGATATAAAAAAAAAATTGAAATGTGCCAAGAGTCTTCCAAAAACATGAAATAGACGAAATAAAAATACATTTTATTGCCTAAATAAATGATTGTGTTGAATACTTCTTTTTTTTCAAAAAAAGATAAAAGTCGCTTAAATATTTCTGTAAACAATAAGCACTTAACTATATTAATAGGGTAGAAAATTAGTAACTTTGGATTTCGCACAATTTTAAAAAAAAATTTTCATCTGTTATTTATTTATTTGTTAATCAAATTTTAAATACAGATTATGTAACTGACCTTGGTGGTGGTTATCGTTATGCCAGGGTCTTTATTAGCATTGATAATCGGTGTTTTAGTTTTTTTTTCAAGAATCTAGAGTCTAGATTCCTGACCATAGAAAGACTTTTATATAATTGGCTGTTTAAATCAATTTAATTTTACATTATTTATACATTTTAAAGTACTTTTTAAAAACAATAAAACTACAAAGAATAAACAAAAAAGAAGGATATAGAAAGTTTTATTAGGGTTGTAGGGCTCAACCATTAAAAATAATCAAAACATAATAGCGAGATAGATAAAATTAGGTTATTACCATGCTAACTTCTCTAAAACAAAAAGGGATTTGGATTATTTTTAATAGTGGAGATCTACAACCATAATAAAACTTTCTATATACTTCTTTATTTTTTTAAAAAAGTACTTTAAACTGTATAAATAATGTAAAATTAAATTGATCTAAACCGCCAATCATACAATTTTTCAGGGGTTAAGTTCGCCACAGTAAATTTTCACTCCCAGGTTTTCACTTTGCAGCACTCTATTTATTGTATTGAAATGCCAACCACTGATATTATTTTCATAATCATCGCTTAAAGATATTTATTTGATAAAAGTAACAGTTACTATTGTTACCGTTACTTAAAAAGAGATGATTTAAATTTCAGTTGAAATTTTAATATAATCAAATTTGTCAAACATAGATTCGATGGAATTTCAGAAGCCACTTTGATAACGGATAATGATGACACAACATGAAAACAAAATATTTTTAATTTTTAATTTCTAATTTAAACAATGATTAGCATGACTAGAAATTAAAAATTCAAATTTATTTTACGAATGTATATTTAGGTTAACGTTAAACAAATTATTTTTAATACATTTAAGCCAATAATCAATTATCCCTATTAGCCAATTAAAAAACTCTAATATGGAACGCGATAAATGTATAAATTGCATCTTCCTTAATCCTTTGGGATATCTATACCTTAACTTATTTTCCTTTTTCTAAGAAACGAGATGACTATTCAAATTGGTATTAACGGGTAATAAAAAATATCAATTTGTCCGAATGTGATGTTATTGTTTATAAGATATTCATCTACTTTTCACTTTAGTTTTGGAAGGATAGGACGACTTGTTTTCCGCGCTTGTGTAAACAATCCGAATGTCCAAGTTGTTGCTTTAAACGATCCATTCATGAAACTTGAAACCATGGTGAGCAATGTCGCCCTTTCGTTTTTTTAAAGAAATATAAGTTATTAGCACAATCTGGAAGCATTGTCCCTAAAGTATTGATAGCTCTTCACCTTTCGTTGATTTTAAAATTATTCGTACTACCGTAAATTCTCGAAATAATGGGCATGAGCGCTATTTTCGAAAACATGCTTTTTAAAACAGTATTTATTATAAAAGTTAAAAAAACATGCTGTATGAACATTATTATAAAGTGCGTGTTATTTCGAGACGCACATGGGTGTTATTTCAAAATAGGTGGTTGGCAAGCTGGCGAAGTGAGGTTTTTTTAGCTAGCCAAATAGTGGCGAGAGTCTTGCATTATTTGGCGAGCTAAAAAAAGCTTACCTCGTCATCTTGCCAACAATCCTATTTCAAACCAAATATACTTTACATATGATAATCGTGAAGGATCTTCAATGGTTATCACGTGCAGACAATTTTAGTATGTTAGTCAATCTTGAAGATTGACTAATACAATAAAAAAAACACTCGTATATTATCAATATGTCAATCGAAAAATCTATCTGTTATTTCAAAATAACGCCATGGCGTGCTCAAAATGACGCGCAGGTTCGGGAATTTACGGTATACATGATTTAATGACATTGAAGAAAACATACAATAAATGCATTAATGACAAATGAATCGTATTTCTGTATTTATAGCTTTACTTGTTCAAATATGATACCGTTCATGGACGTTTCAAAGGTCAAGCTGAGATAAAGGATGGAAAATTGTTTGTAAACAATTGTGAAATTTATGTTTTTGCTGAGAAAAATCCCAAGGATATCCAATGGGGAAAAGTTGGTGCTGACTATATAGTTGAATCTTCTGGTATTTTCAAAACCATGGCAAAAGCATCGCTTCACTTGCAAGGTATTAATACCTTTTTTTAAAAAAAAAGGTCAAATACTTAAATTACAGTAATTAATATTTTATGAAATTTCTAAAACTACTAGGGGTATTCTAGATTTCTAGTCGATTCTTGTTTATCTTTATCTTTTGTGATTATAATTTTATTTTATTTATTTTTTTTTTTGACTATTTCATTATAGGGTGCAAAAAAGGTAAGTCTATTTCGTTAAAAAACCTATCAGAAACAAGCAACATATTAACAAAATTAATTCAGGTCATAATTAGTGCACCAAGTGACGATGTGCCAATGTTTGTTTGCGGTGTAAACTTGGAAACTTATAAGCCCGAATACAAGATTATTTCCAATGCTTCTTGTACTACAAATTGTTTGTCACCGATCGTCAAGGTTCTCAATGATAATTTTGGTATCATCGAAGGTTTGATGTCGACTGTCCATCCAACTACAGCAACTCAAAAGACTGTTGATGGTTCTTCTGATAAAGTACAATTATTTTAGAGAATGACTATTTTCACCCCACCCTCACATGATTTAGCTGATCTCCGACCCTATATGATATGTTACACACATATGTTACGTGACCTCGTATATTTTTGAAGCTTCGGCCTATAACAATTTGGTCATATGACATTGATTAGAGTTAGAAGAGAGTTGGAGAGGGCCGGAACTCATGAGGGTGGCATTAGCAAAAGTGGGGGGGTGGAAATAGCAACACTCTTATTTTATATTGTTATTTGCATAAATCATTTAAACTTGAACTTATTATTTTTTATTTTACAGGATTTGAGAAGGGGCAGAGGAGCTGGTATTCATCAAATCGTAGCAATTAATCGTATGATGTAATTCACTCTAACTACAATTTATTGAAATAGCGCAAAATCTTATTCCTACTTCCACGGGAGCCGCAACAGCTGTTGGCAAAGTTAGTATATTTATATACTTTATTATATTATATCTTATATACGTTTCTTTTATTATTCTAATAACAATAAGGGTTGCTTCCTTACATGAACGAAATTGGTCAACTTCTAATGACGTAACATATGTTACTCCTTAATTGTCTAGATAATTCCGTCGTTGAACTCTAAACTAACTGGTTTAGCCATCCGAGTTCCCACTTTAAATGTTGGAATAGTTGATTTAACTGTCCGTCTAGAAAAAGAAACTACTTATGAAGATATTAAAAAGGCTATGAAATATGCTTCTGAAAACGAATTAAAAGGAATTCTTGGTTATACTGAGGATGATGTAAACAATTTTTTTTTTTATTTTTATTTTTTGGAAATATTTTATGACACTATAGCCAATCAAAATTTAAATCAGGTGTAACATGTAGTTTAACAAAATTATACTATCTATAAATTTTGCCTAACCACATGTTACATCAATTTTATAAACTAGCCAGTCTTAAGACTGGTCAGAAACTGAAAAATCAATCAATTTGCTTTCAGTCTTAAGACTAGACCAATCTGATCCAGTCTGGATATGTCTAAATTGCTTATATATTAAAAATCTAAATTACTAAAATCCGGACCAGACTGTACCAGACTATCCCAAGCTATAGTGCTTTGGATTTTTTTTTTTTTTGCTTTGGATTTATTTATTTTTTAATCAACTTATACTGTAATTAGGTTGTTTCTTCGGATTTTCTTGGTGACACTCATTCAAGTGTGTTTGATGCTAAGGCCGGTCAGTATTTGTTAAAAACAATGATATATATATAACAGTCAAAATACACGATTAAAATAAAAAATTATACAGGTATTCAACTGAATCCAACGTTTGTTAAAGTTATTGCGTGGTATGATAATGAACGTAAGTAATTTATCTTTTGAAAAGCTTATTTATAAATATATTAATTGCTTTTATTTATACGACTTTTAGTGGCTTATTCAATGAGAATTCTTGATTTAATTGAGTATGTCGAAAAGGTTGACTCGTCTGTTTAAAAATGAATTTAAAATTTAAATAATTTTGTTGTATCAAACATATTATTCGTGTTATATTAACATATAATTCACTATCAATAAATATTGAATGCTACACAATTAATTTTAACTAATATTTGTGCGGGTTGTAGAAATGTTGTGGTTCGGCAAAAATCATAGTTCGAACTAGTTTTTTATAGGATTGGAATGCAGCTAGCTTACAATAAAAAAAATCTTATGCCAAGTAAACCTTCCTCGAGTTTTTAACAAAGATTATAGTGCAAGTTATTCCGGTTCTAATAGTGATAGAATTATTCAAATTGGTTTGGTAGACTGCATTTTCTTCTTTTTAACTATATAACTTTTGAATATTGCCAGCATTCCAACCTTATATGAAAGTAGTAATAATTCAACGCCAATGTTTACTATGAAATTTATACCTTTCAACTGCGATCTACCACTTAAGTTTGTAAATTCAAACCAGATTAAACTGGTTTATAATATACAGCATTAACTAATCAAAATTTAAGATACTATTATACAATTATATATTTTATAATAAATAAATATAAACATCGTACCATGCAATGCACTTGTATATCGTACCTCTATATAACAATAATTGCAAATTTGTATAATGTAAAATTATTGTCTAGAGAGCTTTGATGACCTACATTGCGATTTTGATTCATTTATAATAGAAATATCAAAACAGTAATTTCAGCATTTTCCGTCCGTAACGCCCCCGAAAATTACATAGCAGATTAAATGTTAATAAATAAGTTATGAGATATAGTAGATATTGCAGATAAAATAAAACATAGGTCAATTTTGTAAAATGATGATTATAGACAAATCTGAGCTAAGAATTTATAAATGATTTGATTATGTTTATTGATTTGAAGTCATCTAATGCTTATGAAGTATTGTTTTAATCTAATGTTAATAACAGAATCATCAGTATAAAAAATAAAGTTATTGTTTGTAGAATTAGATAAATATATTTCTTGAAAGTATATATAGAAGATTTTTTTTTTAAAAAAAAAGATGTTGTTTTTATCTTTATTAGTATAGGCAGTATTGTTACTTCTAATACATTATATTTTATAAAATAAATTAAAAAGTTTATTAATAATATTAATCTAATAACTATTTTTTTTTTTTTTTTTTTTTTTTTTTTTTTTAACTTTAGCAGTCATGCTAGTACTTTATTAGGATTCTTGAAACTGTACAGATTATATAGAATTTTCTTGATATATAAGTTTAGCATTACTCAGCCACTCAAATGATATCTAAGTACAACTTGCTGCATTATTTCAGTTAGAGATAGACTGCTTGTCTGACTGCTACTCTACAATAGAACATCATCAATCTGATGACATCTTTTTATAGAGAAGCAAAAACAAAAAAAAATTTTTTTTATATAAAAAACAAAATAGAAGTATAGGAGTAAATGATAAAAGATACGAATTAAGAAATAAAAAAGAAAAGAGAATAAATGAAAAAAAAGAAAATATGTGAAACTTGCAATTTACAATATCAGATGATCACAATTGTATATCTGTATCAGGTCTTAAAAATTATAAACTATACTAAATAGAAATAACTTTACTATTTTTTTTATTTACTTAGATTATTTAACAAAAAACCATATAGAAAAGAAAAAATCTTCAACTTGATCGTAAAGGATTAGTATAGAGTACTAGTTAGTCCAGAGGCAGTATTTTAGATTTTTAGTATTTCAAGGCATGTGTATAGTCATGTTTGTATTACTGTATTGTTTCTAATCTACATCATCAACAAACCCATTTAGGAAGTAAATACTACTTACTGTTTTAGTAATTTTATATATCGATCTTTAGAAAGAGGTAAGCTAAATCACCCACTTTTATAAAATCTCTTTAAAGCAAAGTAAAGACAAGAGGCGAACCAACTTTGTAGCTTTTGTGAGTTCTTGACCTTTATAGGCATTCTTGTAGATTTTACAGTTGTATAAAACTAATATATCCAACTTTGTTGTTTATTTGATAAAAAACTTTGGTTTTCACTAACTACTTCTTTTATAGTCTTAAAAGTGCATTTAAGCCATCATCACAAAGTTGCAACTTCTTTTTCAACTCTATTTCAATGTGCAACTATATGTGTACAGTACTCTGAAAAAGTTTTTATAAAGTTTAATATATTAACTATATTGTTTTTCTGTAGTTCAGCTTTTTG